ACACATGCCTCCTACTAGAATTACCTGTACATGTGTATGCACCTCTCCTACACTGATTTGCAGGAACAGTGAATACAATTCCAGTCCATAAAGTCTAAGAAAAAAGTCACCTGCAACCCCTTAGAACCCCTGATGAAACCAGATGACACCCCAGTTGAGAGACTGTTCTAGCTCACAGAACTTCCAGAACTGGCTTCTGTCAGCCGCTTCAGCAGGGGAGCAGTGTGGCTCACACCACTGTTTGATCGGGCAGTTCATCATCAGATCAGCTGGATGACATGAGTGGTCTGGGAGCAGGGGCGGCCTGACCACTCATGGAACCCCCGTGCAATAGGGGACCATTGGGGCCCCTGTGTCCATGCCCACACTTACTCCACACCCAAAAAAGCCTATGAAAGGTACCAGGGGCATCTCATGGGGCCCCCTACTGACCCCAGGCCCTCGGATAGTGCCTGAGTGCTCGAATGGTCAGTCCGCCCCTGTCTGGGAGGTACAGCAACACACTGTCTCATTATACCTGTAGCCTCTGCAACTGTCCTTTTGTGAATGCATCTGCTTTTTATTCAATTTTCAATAAACACTGATTGTTTTTACTACGCTTAGATCCCTTGAGCTGGTTTTTCTTTGTATTATTACAGATGTTGCAATAATAGTAGCTAGTTTTTTGGCTGTATATGTCATATATGCACCCCCTGCATCAGTAGATAAATGCCATACATTTAGGGACCATTGGTGCTAGAATGTTAATGTGGGATACTGTGGGAAATTTTAGCAGACGTGTGCAAATATATGCATAAGCTGCAGAGGCCATGTCATGGCACCTCCGTGTACTGCAGTTCTGGGGTGTCTTGACATGGCCTCTGCAGCTTACGCATATATTTGCAAATGTGTGCAAATTAAACCCCCTGTTTTAACATGAACTGTTAGACAGGGTTAATTCAGTTTGTCGCAGGCTGGCTGGTAAGTGAGCTGGGATTTTTATTTGTTGTTTTTTGACATATGTCGCCCTTCCATGTGATCCTTGATACAAAGGCCAGTTATAGGTTGGGGTGGTTGCCATTTGTTTCTACTTTGAAAATTTAGCAGATCCAAGTCCATTGTCCACCTTATGAATATTTGGTTGATATATGCATGCCCTGCAAAAATCCTGCACAGCAGGTTGATAGTTTGTAATAATTTCAGCAAATTGCTTTTGATTATTTATCTACCATGTGTGCTCAGTGTCTCACTTATGAACAATAGCATGCAGATGTCCGATCAAGTGATTGAAATGAATACTTGTGTGTACGTACATTCAGCGTTTAAAGTGGTTATAAACCCTTACATACACGCAGTGAAGTTAATGGCCTCAGGTGATACACATAGATGAAACAAATCCTCCTACATAGGTTGTGCCTGATTTATTTGCAGTCTTCTCTTCTCCACATCCAGTCAATGTCCAGAATTTATAAAGCTTGCCTGAGGGTTCAGAAAAAGGGGGCAGAGAGGTGAAGAGTGAGGAGAGCTCTGAGAGCTGATTGGAGGGAAGGGACACACCCACATTCACACAGCACACAGGAACAGAGCTGAGGCTGTCAATCTTCTTAAGGTCCCTCCCCTGTCACCTTTTTGTGAAATGATTCATGCTGATAGTAGTGGAATGAAGCAGCAGAGAGAAATGACACTTTTAATGCCCTCAATTGTGACAAATACACAGTATAGAGGTGTAAATGCTTTGTTCATATTTTATGTCTGAGGTTTACAACCACTTTAAAGGCCATGGATGTCTTCTGTACTTCTGCACTGGCATTTTGCTGATCCATGCTGCTACATTGATTTTGTTATATGAGGAAACTCTCCATTAACTGTGTGTTCTGTATAACATCACCCATCGTAAAATATGTACCAAGTATTGATTTCTGGTCTGAGGATCATAAATTATGTGTTTTTTATCTGGAGAACTGGACTTTATTAAAGCTGTGAGAAATGCAGCAGTTAAAGATTTTATGGGAATGTGCATTTCATTAGGCTGTTTGTATTTTCTAAAATACAGACAGACTACTATGAATCAGTATTTATCCTTGGTTCACACCAGTGCAGTTGTCATGTCGTGCTACTTCAGCGCAGCTTCAAAGCTGACTATTGCGATCGACTTCATTTAACAGATGCCAATGCAAGTCACAATGAAGTCGCACAGAAATAGTGCAGGGATCTTTTTCAAAGTCGCTGTGAATTGAGTTACACCTTTTTGAACAGTTTCATTGCTGCAAATGGGGTGCGACTTGTAATGTGACTTTGAACTGTCAAGTGGCATGACAAGTCGCACTGGTGTGAACCAGGGCTTTAAGTGTATGTTATTTCTGATATGTTCCTGTTGTTCCATGTACTTGTGTTAAAAAGTATTCTATTTTCATTGCATTGCTTCCCTTGTGTCAAATACCTGGTGATCCTACTAGTTCCATTGCTTTCCTATTTCAAACTGACCATACTAGGCATGACAGCACATGCATTTCAGCGTTATCAGTTTTCTTCTTTGCATCTTACTTAGGAGCACCGCCTGCATGTCCTCCAGTTGTCAGTCTTGTGCTAACACATCCCCCTCACTGGGAAGATCAGTACACTGCTTCCTCTTAGCCTCCTGTGGACACATGCCCCCCTGTAGTCTCCACTCCCAGCTATCTAAACCCCTTATACAGTTGAGAGCAGAGGTCATGTTATAACTTATAGAAAAAAGGAAAAAAAAAGGTATTTACAGTGCTCAGTATAAATGAGTACACCCCAACAGATTTGTCAGAAAACCTTTACTGTCCTTTCAGAATCAACATTTTCTATGGTACACTATACTACAAAATACTCCCACAAATGCAGGACATTGATGACAAACAAGATTTGTTAATTTGCACACACAAAAAAGTATTTTTTCTAACAAATTGGTTCAAGACCATGTTGCAAAAATGAATACACACCAATGAAAGTCTTAGCAAAACTACATTTTAGACAAATTCCTAATTAACAAGAATTCAGCTACAGGTGGGTCTAACTAGTCATTAAACAGGTGTCCAGTAGACAGTTAAGTATAAAAGGGCGTTACTTAACAAAGAAAACCCCTTTCCATTTCATGCTGTCCGCAATGGCACCACATGGAAGAGAAATGTCACAAGGCCAGAGAAAGAAAATAATTTCCTTACACAAGAAAGGTGAAGGCTACAAAAAGATGAGTAAAGCTTTACTTTTCATTCAGAATACTGTAGCAAAAGTGATACAAAAATGTAACAAAGATGAAACTGCAGCCGTCTCACAGAGACGTCCAGGCCTTCCATGGAAGTTAACACTTCAACAGGAGCGTCTTCTGATGAGAAGGGTTGAAGAAAATAGCCATTGTTTCTAGTGACACAATATGGCGTACACTGCAGAGGAATGGCATGCATGGGTGTAGTCCATGAAAGAAGCCTCTCCTAAAGCCCATGCACAAAAAAGCCCGCATACAATTTGCCAGGGCCCATGCTGAAAGAGAAGAAGACTACTGGACTCTGTTCTCTGGAGTGATGAGACCAAGATAAATGTTTTTGGATCTGATGGCTTCAAAACTGTATAGCGTTGCAAAGCTGAGGAGTACAAAGAAAAATGCATGGTGCCTACAGTGAAACATGGTGGTGGCAGTGTCCTGTGGGGATGCATGAGTGCTGCTGGTGTCTGGGAGTCATGATGGTATCATGAACTCACAGATGTACTGCTCTATATTGAAAGATATTGAAACAGAAGATGCTACCATCACTCCGTTCCCTTGGTCGTCGTGCACTTTTCCAACATGACAATGATCCAAAACACACTTCTAAGGCCACTGCTGCATTTCTGAAGAACAGAGTGAAAGTGATTCAGTGGCCAAGTATGTCTCCTGATCTGAACCCAATCGAACACCTATGGGGAATCCTGAAGAGAGAAGATGAGCATCTCTCTCCATCCAGCATCCAGGCTCTAAAAGAGGTCATTCTTGAAGAATGGAAAGAGATCGATGTTGCAATATATCACCAACTTATTCAGTCCATGCCTAGAAGACTTGGTGCAGTCCTTACAAATCATGGGGGTCATACAAAATACTAGACGTAGTAGTTTTGTTGTGGGGTGTATTCATTTTGCAACTAATTTGAGTAAAATGGGAGATTATGTAATGTAAGTTATATTATTAAGCTTACTTTCATGTAATGAGCTAAACAAATGTTCTATAAAACTCAGTTTTGTCAAAATTTTGGAAATTGTTCTCATGTTCATTGAGATATTTAATAAAATCTTACTTTTCAAAAGAGGTTTACTCATTTATGCTGAGGTCTGTATAATGATTTTTCTATATTTATATGCAAATGTTTTGCCTTGTATTTCTTCTTTAAACTGAATGGGTTATTGTCCTGTCAGCAAATGCATCATATTCCCTTACAGCAAGGAAAATACAAACAAAGACAGTTCAATATTTGTTCGTTCATTTAGTTCGTCTTGGTAGTGTTTGAACTAGGTAGCTGATGGGTAAATTTGTTTGTCCATTTTCTATTGTTTGCCATAAACTTTTATGATTCCTTTTTCTTTGCCTCTTCATGTTTTAATGCAAGTTGCAGCAGCCCCAAATTGTGTTTGTTTTTTTTGGGACTCATTCACACAGGTGCTGAGGACCGTACACCATGAACTGGTCATTTGTTTATGCAAGTGGAGCAACCAGGTGCTGCATGCAGGGAAGTCTTTGGGGGTGCAGAGGCAGTATGGAAACAGCTGTGTGGATGCAATTGCATGGCCCTGAATGCAGTGTGGGTTCAGTGCTCCTTACCTCCACACCTGTTACATTTGGCTGAGTGGCTCTGTGTATACTGCCACTGACTCCCCAGAGACTTACATGGGCTACCTGTACACAGCACCGGGTGGCTCCAGCGGCATAAACAAACACCTAATTTATGGCGTCCAGCCCTCAGCGCCCATGGAAATGATGTTTGTTTCTTTCTTTTGTTCTTTACATATCATCTGCTTATATATTGCAGTTCTCCTGAAGCTTGGAAACAAGAAATCATACTCTGTGGGTCTATCATTGTCCACTGTCCATTCTCGGATATCCTATCTGCCAGTACCATACACTGTGGAGCAGATTAAAGAAGACAAGCATTCCCTTTGCCAGTGCTGTCTTGCCTTACTTCAGTTTATACAGCCATTTGTTGACCTTGTATCACAGACCACAGACGTTACCAAGGAGCAAGATCTTCAAGAGATGAGGAGGGAGCTCCTGACATTGTAAGTGTACATTTAGCTCAAAGTGGTTCTAAAGGTAAAAGGTTTTCTTTCTTTTTTTTTAACCTTTCCATAACAGCTCCCCCAGCTATGCCCATCTGCTGTACAGTGGATATAAAAAGTCTACACACCCCTGGTAAAATGTCAGGTTTCTGTGTTGTAAAAAAAAAATGAGACAAAGATAAATCATTTCAGAGCTTTTTCCACCTTTTAATGTAACCTATAAACTGTACAACTCAGGTGAACAACATGCTGAAATCGTTTAGGTGGAGGGAAGTTAAAATAAAAAACTAAAATAATGTGGTTGCATAAGTGTGCACACCCTTAAACTAATACTTTGTTGAAGCACCTTTTGATTTTATTACAGCACTCAGTCTTTTTGGGTATGAGTCTATCAGCATGGCACATCTTGATTTGGCAATATTTGCCCACTCTTCCTTGCAAAAACACTTCAAATCTGTCAGATTGTGAGGGCATCTCCTGTGCACAGCCCTCTTCAGAACACCCCACAGATTTTCAATCTGATTAAGTTCTGGGCTCTGGCTGGGCCATTCCAAAACATTAATCTTCTTCTGGTGAAGCCATTCCTTTGTTGATTTGGATGTATGCTTTGGGTCATTGTCATGCTGAAAGATGAAGTTCTTCTTCATGTTCAGCTTTCTAGCACAAGGCTGAAGGATTTGTGCCAATATTGACTGGTATTTGGAACTGTTCGTAATTCCCTCTACCTTGACTAAGGCCCCAGTTCCAGCTGAAGAAAAACAGCCCCAAAGCATGATGCTGCCACCACCATGCTTCACTGTGGGTATGGTGATTTTTTGGTGATGTGCAGTGTTGTTTTTGCGCCAAACATATCTTTTGGAATTATAGCCAAAAAGTTCAACCTTGGTTTCATCAGACCATAACACATTTTCCCACATGCTTTTGGGAGACTTCAGATGTGCTAAATTTATACCGGCTTGGATGTTTTTCTTCGGAAGAAAAGGCTTCGTCTTGCCACTCTACACCATAGCCCAGACATATGAAGAATACATGAGATTGTTGTCATATGTACCACACAGCCAGTACTTGCCAGATATTCCTGCAGCTCCCTTAATGTTGCTGTAGGCCTCTTGGCAGCCTCCCAGACCAGTTTTTTTCTCATCTCTTCATCAATTTTGGAGGGACGTCCAGTTCTTGGTAATGTCACCGTTGTTCCATGGTATATCTAATGTTTTGGAAATTCTTTTGTACCCTTCTCCTGACTGATAAGTTTTAACAGTGAGATCCCTCTGATGCTCTGGAAGCTCTCTGCAGACCATGTAGGATGCGACTAAGAAAATGTCAGGAAAGACCTACTAGAACAGCTGAACTTTATTAGAGGTTAATCAGAGGCACTTTAAATGATGGCAGGTGTTTACTGATTCCTATTTAACATGATTTTGAATGTGATTGCTTAATTCTGAACACAGCTACATCCTCAGTTATAGGGTGTGCACACTTATGCAACCACATTATTTTAGCTTTTAGGATTACTTACCCCCCTAAAAGATTTCAGTTTGTTTTTCAATTGAGTTGGACAGTTTATAGGTCACCTTAAAGGTGTAAAAAGTTCTGAAATTATTTATCTTTGTCTCATTTTTTTACATCACAGAGACCTGACATTTTAACAGGGGTGTATAGACTTTTTATATCCACTGTAGCTCTTCTCCTCTTTTCCTCTATTCACTAAGGGACTACAAAAGAGGCAGATCTTGCATTTTGCCATACAACATATTTTGAGAATCCCACCCTTGAGATTATTGCTTTAACCCACTTTCCATCACGGCTGTTTTTGCTTTTTTTTTTTTTTTTTTTGCACACTTGTTTCATTTAGATCTTAAGATTACATAAAACCCCCAAACCAGTATATATTTTCTGAAAACAGGCACCATATAGAATAAAATAGTGGTAGTCATATTTTTTATGTCACACATTATTAGTGCAATGGTTTAGAAAGTGCAAAATTTTGGTAAAAAATACACCAAAGTTAAATTTAGGGCACAAAAATGCAATAAATTACCATTTTTTTTTTTAAATCGATACCCAACATGTCAAAATGTAAAATTGGTGCACCTGTGAAACAGCAACAGAATTCAGTACCCTATATTTTCCATAGGTGACACTTTAAAAGCAACTACAGGTCATCAGTTTAGAGTGAACTGTGAATAATGGGCCTAGAATTATTGATTTCACTCTGGCATGCGTGTTGATATGTAAAATGTGTAGCACAATCAATGTTTTCATGCGTATGAACCCCAATTGCACCCATTTACGTTTGTACATTCTTGTATGTGGGGGTGGAGGGCTCAAAAATCTTTTGATGGGGACTCTAAGTGCTTGGGTTCAGCTTTAATTTTTTACACTTTATTTTTCGTTACTAAACTTTTTTTTCATCACATAGGGGACAAAGAGTCCCCTATATGCTGACTTTTTGATGACAGGCTCTCTTAAATGAGACATCATTTAAAATACCCCAATGTCTCACCTGTCCTTCAATAGATGCCATGGAGTGTAGATCACACTTTATGAAATTCTTCTCTATAAGTAAAGTATTTACACTTTGCTTCTGGATCATTAATAGGACCGGGAGATCAGCAAATGGCCGTTTTCTAGTCTCCCTCCCCTCTACTTTTCATTATAACAACTAATGGCATATTGTATCAAAAAATCATGATAGTAAATTATGGAGTGTGGCTGTAATGAATGCAACAATATCGATCCATTCTGAATGCCCTAATACTTTATCTTCTACATCTGTCACAAGCTGTTTTAGTTGCTTGAAGTTTCCCCTCCTTACTGCTCAGCTCAAATTGGGAGAAGATGAACTAAAGGACAATCCGTTCTGCTTATTTGCTGAAGGCATCATGGTAAGCACAAGGAGAATCGAATGGATTTATTTGCTAAGTATTGGTCTCATTTCACAAATTTATTTGTTCATTGTATTTGGTAAATCATAATCACCTTGAATGTTTCCTTAGGAAACTATTGCTTTAATAGTATTAGCCATACAGTTTACAGTTCATACAATTTTGGAAAAGATTAGAGCATATTTATAAATTAATCCCCAGCCCCCCCCTTACCCCCTAAACTAACCTAAACTGGACCATAATCTCACCCGCAGGTGCTTACTTACCACCTCTAACACAGCAGCCTCCTGTGTTATCTACATCCTTTCCGATAAAAATCTAGTGCCGGACTGCTCACACTTGTGCAATAAGTTCCATAGACTTGACATTTGTCCTGCAATTCATTCAGGTCTACAGTATTGAACATTGGTGTGCAAGCAGCAAGGCACTAGATTTTTACCAAATGAAATACAGATAATACGAGAATCTGCCACCATCGGAGGAGACCACTAATCATGTTGGAGCAATGCTGGTTCAGCTTGTGGGGGACTGGGGAATTTTTTTAAATTCATGATCAATCGATCAACGATCAAAACAGATCATTGCCCTCCCTTCCATCTGCTTCACATGGCTCCACCTGAAGTTTCAATGAGATAGTGATTGCCTTAAAAGAGAAAACTACTGCATTCTGTCCTCTAGTCCAGGGACGTCCAACCTTTTGATTTTCCTGGGCCACATTGGAAGAAAGGGTATTTTCTTGGGTCACACATAAAAAAAAAACACTAAGAATAAGGATAGCTGATGAGCAGGGAAAGTTGGTCAGACCACAAGTTAACGATCACTGATATAGAGAATGTACATATCGGAGTAATAAAACTTCATTTTTTGTAATATTTTTTATTATAAAAGAGAGCAACATAAACTAGTGCGATATTGACACTGCTTTTGATAAACTGAAGCACCGTAATCTGGTTTGATGGATTTAGTAGCTATTCTCAATGAATTCTCAAGGTGCTTATCAGATATTTTCATTCTAATTTTGCCCTTCGTGTGCTTTTATCCTTGAAAACTCTTGCTTAAAAATACAGGCGCTGCCAAAAACTGGTGACATGAATAATGTAGGATAGTTTTCTTTGGGAAAATTAAAGCTACAAGTCCTCATGCACACTTGACGTTTTTACAGCGGCTGTTTTTGGCTTTTGACGTTTTTTTTCTACAGCCAGTAAACCCCCCAGCATGTTATCCTATGTGTCCATGCACTCATAGACTGTAATTAATGTTTTTTGGCAGGGACGGTTTTTGGCTGGAAAACAAAACCCAGGACTAGTGGGTTTCTAGAGGAGTTTTTTAGCTGTAAAAATGCTCTAAGGCTGAACAACGTGGAAAAGTCGGTAAACCACCGCAAACCATCCTTTTTGGAGGCTTTTTTGAAGAAAAATATTTTTTGGGTAAAAAAAATGCTAAAAAATCGCAAACACGGAAAAACGCCAGGAAAGGCAGCAAAACGCTAATGCAAAAACACTTAAAAAAGCTCAAAAACTTTACACAGCTAACGTTACTAGTGTTATCAAAACACCCCATGTGCATGGAGCCTAAAAGTCCAGTAAAGGGACACTGTCAATTTTTTCTTCAGTTGCATATGTTCACTAAGTGCAACTGCATTTTTACAAAAAAATTACAAAAAGAAATCAAAAATTTTAAGTAATTTTACATTTTTATATTGGGCTGCATTCATAGATGTCTTGGGCTGCAGGTTGGACAACCTTGCTCTAGTCCTTTCTGTAAACAATTAGGTTTGAGCTGCTTCTGCTGCAGATTTTGTGGCCTTTTTGGTTTTGCAACAGATAATTAGAATTTTATATTTCTCCCCAGTTTTCGTTAGATTACTAGATCCAATGCAGTTTGGACTCTTCTAGAAAAGCACAGAATGAAGGCTGTCTGCTTTGCCCATTGACAAATGCATGCTTTCATTTACTAAGATAACCAGAGCTGCAAATTTTATGCTATGGGCAAAATAAATGCCTTTAGTTCCTATCCTATGTAAATGCCTTTGTATAAATCCATTTGTAATTGGGTAAGGAAAGGCTACATTTTCAAAAGAGAAATGTTATTATTGCAAATTTTTTATGTTACAGGGTTTTCTTGTAGCATTGGGTGAACCCCTACCCAAGGCATTTATGCAGAACGTTCACAAAGCTGAAAGCCTGGAGAATGACAATACTGTACCTCAGAAGGAGATGTATACGGCTGAGGCTGTAGCCTGCCTCTCTTACCTCTTGTTTGTTCATCATTTTGGCATGGACGCTTTTCCATTTGTATTTGGGTGAGATATCTGAAATAAAATGAACCTGTACGTTTCTATTCTGTGGAGTTTGTGTCAAGTGTTTGTGTCCTGCTGGTCATGATTGTCCTGCTTCAGATACCAGCAATCATTTGTTCTGGCAGTGGTGCTGAGGCCATAATGTCCTATTTTCTTCCAGCACCATGTGTGTTGGACAGGCACAGTCTCTTAGAGACTATTTGAAACTGGGTGGGTTTTTAGGGTGGCTCAAAAGACCCAATCAGCAGTAGTCTGCTTGGCTGCTCTATTAAAGTCCAACCCCAGTCCAATCCCCCCCCCCCCCCCCCCAAATAGTTCTCTGTTGCAGTTACAGACCACAGAGATTGTATCTTTTCCCTACTCTGTCCAAAACTAAAAAAAAAGTTTTAGCTGGCCTTGGGCTTTATTCCATCTTAAAGGGTAACTCCATTTTTGAGGGGAAAAAAATATATAGCAAATGTAAAAAAATAATACAGCATATATAATTGTGACATATTTTAATTTATTGTTTTTAAAAATTACCTTTCCTTTTCAATCTGAAATATGGATAATCAATCTGTAATTTTCTGTAGAATTCAATGCACTATGGCAACCTGGAGGCATTCTGTACACAGTTGATGTATGGAACGCCTCCAGAAATGTCATTTCCTGCTTGTGTGATTGGCTCACTGATTTTCCCAGAAGTCTACACCTGACTTTAGGCATCCTTTGCAACAAAAATGTCATTTTTAATAAAGCGCTGAGCAAACTGTTGGTGCTATATAAATCCTGTATAATAATAATATAATAATTTTTGTTGAGATTCTTCAGAAGGGTTCATCACTTCTAAAGGTACTCTATGCAGACCTTGCATCTTTCCCCATTAGAACACTGCAAGAGCATCAGCTGATCAAATCACTCCCATTCAGAATCCAAAAGACAGAAAAATAAACAGGTGGTTCTTTTAAAAAACATTTTAGCAAAAACAAGCAGGATTACTGAGTTCGTTAAATTCCCTGTAATGAACATTAATCACCTAGAGGGAATTGTTATTTTTTACACAACAAAAGTTACTGTTTAATGGCATGGGTTTAGTGTTGGGACACTGACAGTCTAGAAATGAATGTACAGAATTTCCACTTTTTCTCTTACCTCCCTGGCGGTATTCCCGAGTGTATCTCGGGGTTAACTTTCAGTACCAGAAACGGTAACCCCGAGCAACACTCGGGATTACAGTGCAGCGTTGCTCTGGGATCCCTCTTGCACTTACCTTGTCCTGCGGTCCCGCAATGTCCCCCTGCAGCGTCCCTGGCCATGGCATTCGTCTTTCGGGGGACGGAACTGGCGGGAATTTCAAAAATGTAAAAATTTTACATTCACTCAATACACTAAAATCTGATAGTATTACATTATTGTATCAAACCATTTCACATACATTTTGTCCTGTGCCCTGCCTGCATTTTTACCGATCTTTCTGCCTGGAAAGTGAGAAGCATTCAAAAAGTGTCCCTTTAGGTCAAAAGCGGTTGTAGACCAGCTAGAGAACAGTGATCGTATTAGAACCACTTGCAGAATTGAGTGATAATGATTCGTGGGGAAATTCGTCACCAGACACTGAAAACGATTTTGCGACTAAGCTCAGTGATGTGCGAACTTGGCGCTCTATTTCAAATTTCAGTGTTTTTGGTTTGATTACGTTATTGAATTAAATGTATTATTATATTATCATTTTTTATAATTATTTATTATATTATAATTTATGGTTTCGTGTTTAAAATTTTATCATACCCGGGTTGTTTACTAGACTCTTGTTCGGACAAATTTCAGTGAGTTATTCCTAAGAATTACAGGCCTACAATAAAAAAAACAACATATTTCCATTGAAAACAATGTACCGCTTTGAGGACAGAAATGCTGACATAATCAGACCGCTAGGGAGGTTAAAGAGACAAGCAGAGCAAAGTAACAGTGTGTTTGTAAAGGCTACCACCCTAGATATGTTTGCTTTACCAGTCCTCCCCTGCAGATCCTGACCCCTCTACAGCTGGCACTGAAATACAAGTGTTGGCAGGTGTCAGACATTGAGGGGATGTCATTCCCCTGGTCATGTGACAGTTCTCAAACGTAGCAATTGGCTGCAAGACCTGAACGCTGTCAAATGAGAGCAGGACACGTTTTCCCCCATACCTTGAAGCACTGCGTATTGTTGCCAGCTTCTACTGGGCCAGGAGCAGTGAAAGAGCACTGGCTAGGTGAGCCCCATTCAGACGTTTATGAAGAGTGGACAAGTTCACATCCCACTCTGCTGTATGGACTGGCAGGTATAAACGGACTCCACTGTTTGTCTAAGTGGATCAGATCTGAGGACAGTCGGGTGTAAACAGTGGAATGGATCCCCTTCTGTTTTTAGGTGAACCAGATCGGATTGGAGGTAGGCGGGTGTAAACGGACAAACGTTTATTTACACCTGCCGGTCCATAGTGGTGAAAGGAGGGGCTGATCAGGACTGCCTGAAAAACTGACACACGGACCTGATCAAACCCTCTTGTCAAAGGGGCCTAACATGCATTTACCAACTTGTTCCATCAATGTTATTTACCAGACTAATGGTTTATTTAAGTGATACCAGCGATTCAATAAAGATTTATTATTCTTAAGCACAATTCTAAAGTGCAGTAATCAATACCCATCAATTAACTTGCATTTTGTTCTGGTATGAATACAATAGACTGGTTTATATAGGTTTAAAGCTGACCTCTAGGCAGATATATAGTATACTACACAAACGAATGCAGACCCGTGTTCATTGATCCTATTCCGTATGGCATTTTCATTTGTAAGAACAAAAAGAACAAAAAAAATGCCCTACCTTAGGTTGTACGCCCCTTGAGGGTTAAGGACTGATGTGAATGTACAATATATATATATATATATATATATATATATATATTTATGTAAAGTGCTGCGTAAATTGACAGCTCTATATATAACTGCCTGAAATAAATAAAATAAATAATGCCCTCTATGAGAGCAGCTTTCTCTATACTGTGGGCTGACACAAGCCCGGCTGAGTTGGAGCCACAGAACCGCATATCAGTGCAATATGCAGAGTGTGAGTTTTGCTGATTGCCATGCTGTAGTGCATGTAGGTAGAGCGCTTCAGACTTCTGTATACAGACTGAGGATCTCACATAGAGAGCATTGGCCTTCAGATGGAATAGGATTTTTTGGCTTGGAGGAAAAAAGGTACGATATTGAAAACTGCTGCCTAACTTTATAGGACTAATAAAGTACAGTTGTGCTCTAAAATATAAATATATAAACTCCAATGAAACATTTCCATCATACTAGCAAATTATTCAGAAATGCAATCTTCATTTGCAGCAAATCATCTACATGGTGAAGAAATGGAAATTGTGACTGGGAGGGAGCTTGTGTTAATCGTATAAAGGTTTATTATGGAAATTATATGTACAGAATTTGAAGATATTTAATTATCATTTTTAGGATTTTTAATATCATTGTTTTTCCCCTCAGCTGGGTTGTTCTTGGAAATTAATTCTATCAGCAATTAGAGACTGAATGAAAACAGACCCTTCTAGCCTATTACTGCAGATTAGGATTGCGAATGAACTCTTTTTTTGTACACATTATAATGAAGAGAAAATTAAACGCAATATTTTATATTTTTCTATTTCAGTTATCATGCTCAGACAAAATTATTAAGAAACATGCTGAAAAAAACAGTTGTGCATCATTTACTGTGACATAATATTAGCTTATATCCAGCCTAACAAAGCCATGTTCTCTTATTCCTCAGCTGTTAATAAAGCTGAAAATAAATCTGCATTTATGTTGCATTCCGTGGTGACTCCACCCCCCTTATCAACATGTTAATGACATTTTTAAATAAAATCTTTCTGTTTTCATTACATGCCTTACTTTAGACACAGTGACAATATATCTGGGTCTCTGTGCTTCTCTATGCAAAGCAGGGAGGTCATTACTGGTGGGAGGGTACTATACATAGGATCCTGAAATCATCACAGCACTCTCAGTCTCAGTACTTTTTTTCAAGAACCCTCACGCCTGGTGCAAGCATTTTGGCTGGCAGTTGGGAGGAGTTATATGTACAGTATCTCACAGAAGTGAGTACACCCCTCACATATTTGTAAATGTTTTATGTATTTTAAGTGAAAATGTCCAAATTGGGCCCAAAGTGACAATATTTTTTGTGGCCACCATTATTTTCCAGCACTGCCTTAACCCTCTTTGGCATGGAGTTCACCAGAGCTTCACAGGTTGCCACTGTAGTCCTCTTCCACTCCTCCATGACGACATCACGGAGCTGGTGGATGTTAGAGACCTTGCACTCTTCCACCTTCCTTTTGAGGATGTCCCACAGATGTTCAATAGGGTTTAGGTCTGGAGACATGCTTGGCCAGTCCATCATCTTTACCCTCAGCTTTAGCAAGGCAGTGGTCATCTTGGAGGTGTGTTTGGGGTCGTTATCATGTTGGAATACTGCCCTGCGGCCCAGTCTTTGCAGGGAGGGGATCATGCTCTGCTTCAGTATGTCACAGTACATGTTGGCATTCATGGTTCCCTCAATGAACTGTAGCTCCCCAGTGCCGGCAGCCCCAGACCATGACACTTCCACCACCATGCTTGACTGTAGGCAAGACACACTTGTCTTTTTACTCCTCACCTGGTTGCCGCCACACACGCTTGACACCATCTGAACCAAATCAGTTTATGTTGGTATCATCAGACCACAGGACATGGTTCCAGTAATCCATGTCTTTAGTATGCTTGTCTTCAGCAAACTGTTTGTGGGCTTTCTTGTGTCTTTAGAAGAGGCTTGCTTCTGGGATGACAGCCATGTAGACCAATTTGATGCAGTGTGCAGCTTATGGTCTGAGTACTGACAGACTGACCCCCCCACCACCCCTTCAACCTCTGCAGCAATGCTGGCAGCACTCATACATCTATTTTCCAAAGGCAACCTCTGGATATGACGCTGGGCACGTGCACTCAACTTCTTTGGTCGACCATGGCAAGGCCTGTTCTGAGTGGAACCTGTCCTGTTAAACCACTGTATAGTCTTGGCCACCGTGCTGCAGCTCAGTTTCAGGGTCTTGGCAATCTTCTTATAGCCTAGGCCATCTTTATGTAGAACAATTCTTTTTTTCAGATCCTCAGAGAGTTCTTTGCCGTGAGGTGCCATGCTGAACTTCCAGTGACCAGTATGAGAGAGTGAGAGCGAGAACACTAAATTTTACACACCTGCTCCCCATTCACACCTGAGACCTTGTAACACTAATGAGTCACATGACATCGGGGAGGGAAAATGGCTAATTGGGCCCAATTTGGTCACTTAGTGGTACTCACTTTTGTTGCCAGCGGTTTAGACATTAATGGCTGTGTGTTGAGTTATTTTGAGGGGACAACAAATTTACATTATTTATACAAGCTGTACACTCACTACTTTACATTGTAGCAAAGTGTCATTTCTTCAGTGTTGTCACAGGAAAAGATAGAATAAAATATTTACAAAAATGTGAGGGGTGTACTCACTTCTGTGAGATACTGTATATCAAGAAACCTTGATTTAGTATTGAGACTTGTACATTTCTAGGCAGATTACAGCGGCATGCAAACTGTCCTAGGTAACACCCACATGTGGTGATGAGCCTCCATGTTTGAAAGAACTGAAATTCAATGAATGAAAGGGGCAGACCAGGGACAGTAAGTCTGTAAAGGTAAAGACTAGTTGATTCTGAACATCCTCCAGCCAAGATTTAGCAGGCTCTCTTTCACTTGCTACAGCTTCTAATGCACACTGTGAGAAATTCTGGGTCCTGCTTTAAAAAAATTGCTTTACTTTATTTTCACACACAGGGTCTGTCCTTGCTTTCTTGGTAGGGGCCTTCCAGGTTAATAAGGGCTCATGTACCCTGCAGCTGATAAACTCATGTTTAGGAGCTGTTCAGTGTTTTTTTCAGCAACCCCTGAACTCTCCCTAATGTTTTCCTATGTGTCCATGTACACATCTTCATTTACATTTGTTTACAAGCATTTGAGTTTATAGTCGTTTTTGTAACGCAGAAAACTTGTGTTCAGCAGTCGATTTTATCAGCGTTTCAAACACAAAACGCTCGTAAACGCGGCAAATCGCGTTTATAAACGTTTGCGTCTGAAATTGTTTTTTAACTCTTCCAGTTCCCAATGCTGTCCAGAGCCTTTTTTCATCATGAAAAATGCATGCAAAGCGTTTTCAAGGTACTCAGATGGACAAAACACTGAACACAGGATGTTCCCACCAAGCTGGTCACACATTGTAATGACCAATTCACACCTCAGGCCTCTCCCACCCTTGGAAACAAAAGATATGTTAATGCCCATTCACACCTCAAATTCCTCATGAAGACCCCCTGCCAGGTGACCTTAATGACTTACTCCACCAGACACCTATCCCACCCTTGCAAACAAAAGAAATGTTAATGAGCAACTCACACCTAAGCTAATTTCAACACATACTTCTGTCTCTGCTTCTACTCTCTGTATTTCTCTGAAAGTCTGAAATAGTTAATAATTTACCACTTTTCAGTGCATTCTGGGCATTTGGGAGGTTCTCCTGCACTTATCTTTAAAAAACGCTTCTAAACGCAAACGCTCAAACGTGGCTAAACAGACATTTTTAACCTGCGTTTTCCAGCAGTCAGTTTCCATTGTTCAGAAGTGTCCCGTGTACATGGAGCTTTAGCTTGGTAACACAAAGTGACTGCAGTCCAAACACCGGGGTGGATTTACTAAAGGCAAATAGATTGTGCATTTTGTAAGTGCAGTGGACTCTGAAGTTGCTCCAGAACTTAATAAATGAGGGAAGCTTTGCTGGCTTCCATCATCCAATCATGTGCAAGCAAAAATGCTGTTTTTAGTCTTTGCAGTGAAGCTCAGTCTTATTTACTAAGCTCCGGAGCAACTGCACTTGCAAAGTGCACAGTCTGCTTTTTGTAAACCCACCCCATTGACATGGTACTAAAGGTTTGGTTCTATTGTGTAGATTGGTATACTGCTGTGGGCAGAGTAGTTAGCTGGAAAATGAGGACAACTGTACCTTTAGAAATAAATTCTTACACCCCACGAGTGCAGCCTACCGATTACATATTTTCCTTCCTCCCTATACAGCAGTCCAGCTCTGCACAGCCTTTTCTCTGTAAATGTCACCACTAGAGCCTCTTAGTGTGCATGTGCACCATGGTCCTGTTCATTCCTATGGGAGAGTGCTACTCATGCAACCTCCAGCAGTACAGCAAAGTGAGACTCCAACATATGAATGAATGGAATCAAGGAGGAAAGGCTGTGTGGTGCCAGATGGGGCCACACAGACAAATTCACTGGAATGACGAGGAAGGGAAGTATGTAATCAAATGCAATGGACACAACAGGGGTCAGGGATTCATTAAAGGACAACCTGGCTATTAATTTCCTGCATTCTGCCCCCCTCTTCCCTAGCAGATTGTATTCGCAGCACAGATCTCTCTTCGTTTGTGGACTATACGGCCCTTAAATTAATAAAACATAGGTTGTAGCACTGTTCTTCATATGTTGTGCAGTTAATCAATGTGCTATGGGGTAAGTACTTATGATGTGAAGTGATCACTCCGTGCTATACAACACCTCCCTCCTATCTGTTCCCATGAAGATGGAGAAATACCTATGAGGATCTCTCCTTCCTATCAGCCACCTACCTACTTGACCAAGTGTGTCACACTTAATATGCAAGCCGTGCAAAAATGGAAGGGTGGATCTACAAACCACCTCCCTCTTTTACAACAAATATTACAAAATTCGAAAACGTGAATAATATGTAATCAATTGGATATGCGAGTAGTACCTGGGATTTGGTACTACCATACACCTCCCCCATGTAATACCATGCATATATGATAGATTGTAACAAACAGTGCAATATGCTCTACAGTATATATGATGCAATACAAATCCTGCAGACCACCTCCCTCCCTTTGAAAAAGTAATTTACAAGATCACAGTGAACATGAAACTACAGTGAAACTAGGTTTTTGGATATTGTAATGTTTTTTTGTAAAATAGGGAGGTGGTTTGTAGATCCACCCTTTTATCTTCAGTTTGACACACGTGGTCAGTTTGAGTACGTAGGTGGCTGATAGGAAGGAGGGATCCTCCTAGGTATTTATCCTTCTACTTTTATCCATCTTCACGGGAACAGATAGGGGGGCAGTATTTTATAGCATGGAGTGATCACTTCACATCACAAGTACTTACCACATAGCACATTTATTTACTTCACTACATATGAGGAACAGCACTACACCCTATGTTTTTTTTTGTTTCTACACATTCCTATTAGGGTATGGTAGGTGTTAGCATCAGTCCCTTAGCGTTGCGCAGAACCAATTCCGTTTTTTTATAATGTGCCCTTAAATTAAGCATCATTTATGTTGAGATCAGTGACACGTGACACTGCCCGGTGCCACAGAGAGAGGTTGTTGGAGAGGACATCAAACATTGGGTCTATGATTACAGTGAAAAAGTATTGCTGCAGCATTTTTTTTTCCTCTAGCAGAGTGAACTGTGATGTTTGCATTTGGATTCTTCATGTATAGTATGCATTTTGGATTCTTCGTGCATAGTATATGCATTTTGGATTCTTCGTGTATAGTATGCATTTTGGATTCTTCGTGTATAGTATGCATTTTGGATTCTTCGTGCATAGTATGCATTTTGGATTCTTTGTGCATAGTATGCATTTTGGATTCTTCGTGCATAGTATGCATTTTGGATTCTTCGTGCATAGTATGCATTTTGGATTCTTCGTGCATAGTATGCATTTTGGATTCTTTGTGTATAGTATGCATTTTGGATTCTTTGTGTATAGTATGCATTTTGGATTCTTCGTGCATAGTATGCATTTTGGATTCTTCGTGCATAGTATGCATTTTGGATTCTTCGTGCATAGTATGCATTTTGGATTCTTCGTGTATATGTTTTGGATTCTTTATGTATACTAGATACTAGACTAGTAACCTTACTAGTTATTGTAAGGGGATGACAGGGTTGTCTTTCAGAAACTGCTTCGAGCAACGTAAGGCCTGCTGACCCTTTTCACCATGATCTGGCATCCTCAGGCATTGAACTGAGACTAATGCTGTAAGGATCTGTTCAGACGTGAACACAGAACATGCAGTGAGAAGCTCTTGTATCGAGTGGCTTTCTGGGAACTCGGATCAATATCTTCATACATGAGCGTAATCTTTCTCCTGCCAGTTACAATATGAAATGAGCAGTCTGAACAGGCAGAATTCTGTTTGCTTGTTTTACTTGATCCCAGGAGAGTTCAGAGGTATATCTTCAATATCTTTGTAATATAGTCATAGAAATAATTTAGTCTGTAGGCAGAGTCAAATATTTATTTATTACAGGTACTTATATAGTGCCATCAATTTAGGCAGCGCTTTACATATATTGCACATACACATCAGTCCCTAACCTTCAAGGCACTTACAGTCTAAGGTCCCTAACTCAGATTCATACATACTAGGGCCAATTTAAAAAGAAGCTAATAAATTAACCTACCAGCATGTCTTTGGAGTGTGGGAGGAAACCAGAGTACCCAGAGGAAACCCACACAAGCGCAGGTAGTGTCATGGGTGGGATTCAAACTGATGACTCTGGTGCTGGCTAGGCAGAAGTGCTCACTAGTTAGCCACTGTACTACCCCATGAAAGACTAGACCACATGAAAGATATGCTGTAGATCTGAACACATCTACTGGAGTAATGTTAATAATGTCTCCTTTATAGTATCAAATGGAAAGATTTCCTAATATACAGAAACATGAAGATAATTCTATAAATTAACAGAATATTATTTTATTTTTCCTAGGCCATCATTTGTGCTGAAGTCTAACATGGAACATATTGATGTGCTGTTAAAAAGGTAAGTGGAATTTTGCATCAATGCTCACTGTTTACAGCACTGATAACCTAAAGCAGCATCCATTAGAAAAAAAACAAGTGCACTCATATAGCTACCTTTTACCTGTTAAAGAGGTTCTGTGGTGTGGAAGCTGTACTCAATAAATCAAGCAGAGAGGGCAACAAACCAGTTGCCAGTATAAACCTTGTAGGATCCCTGCAACACTGTGTCCATGTGTGGTGGTAGGCACCTTGTTTCAGAAAGGGTTCTAATCTTTGTGACTGGTGATCTGATGATTGGTGGAGTAATGATCAAGAAGCAGCAAAAGAATTGGAGAAGTAAAAAATCCACAGATTGGATGAAACAAACTGGGAAATCCTTGTATTGCCAGTTCTCAGGTACAGCTTCCTCTCCAGCAAGCTCTAATCACCTATATGATATTTGGGCCCTCCCTGCTATTTTTCATCTGTACTGAAGTGTTTGAGGTGCACCTTGGTACACGGACCTTTTTCTCTATGTCTAAAGGCTATCAGTTGGGAAGAACTGGTCTACAGGGGATTGCCATTAAAGGGATCAGTGCAGGTAAGACCTTAACCCACGGTGCACAGAGACAGGGCAAGTGCTGAGGCAATGCCAGTGGGTCTGGACCTAAAAAGCGATCCGCATTTGACTTGTTACCAGAATCAGGCCTAGAAAGCACCAAATGGGGAACCCATTGCTAACCCTGCAAAGTCAAAACCAGGGGGAGTCTGGGTACACAGGACTACAAGGCTAGGCTATGGTTTTCTGGGCATGCTCAAATTAGATGAGCACCAGGCCACCAGTTGGTATTGTATATTTTAGTATATCATTGACTGTTCCATTTCAGTATACACAATTTTTGGTAAGTGCCAAATAAAACACCAATACATATTTCCTGAACTGTAAAAAAAAAAAAAAGTGCTTGTCTCTTAATCCTTTAAATGGCTCATCCTTTCTTAGAAAGTTGTGTGGAGAGCCTGAGAACAGATTACAGGATATTGTATGAAATATTTCATTGCCAGCATGCTTTTAGTGCATCTCTGATGGCATACATATTGGAGTGTAAAATGTTAATGGATGCTGGTCAGATTTAGTTTAATGATTTCTATTAATGCACACCATTCCACTTGGCACTCAGATTCAGCAGCTGCTATAAACATAATGAAACTGGTTAGTAATCTGCTATGAAGGTGCTAGAACACATAAAAAGTATGTAGACCTAGGGGAAGTATTTTAGTTTTGTAGTTGGATGGAACTGATTGTGCTAGTAGGTATAAGACTGAGATTGGAAGGAAGCTGTGAAAGCGGACAGCCTATCATAAATGACGTAGGCATTCCTCGCCCGTAGGTGCACGTCTACACCCCCTTTGTATATCATAGGTGGCTACACCACCTATAATTGGCTGCCTGCTTTGACAACTTCCTGGTGGGATAGCTCAGGCGGGTTAGGATTTGTAATATACTAAAAGGGTGCAGCGCTGGTAAAAATCACAAATATAATGTATATATGCTAAATTCATATATAGATAATTAACCACTTCAAGACCGGACACTTTTACCCCCTTCCTGACAAGGGCAATTTTTAGCTTTCAGCGCTATCACGCTTTGAATGACAATTACGCGGTCATGCAACGCTGTACCCAAATGAATTTTTTACCATTTTTTTTAAACAGATAAAGCTTTATTTTGGTGGTATTTATTCACCGCTGGGATTTTTATTTTTTTTGCTATGCTATGTAAATGAAAAAGTCCAAAAATTTTGAAAAAAAGTGTTTTTTTTATAAAATTTTGCAAATAAATAATATTTCATCATAAATCTTTGCCAAAATTTAATCCGTTATCTTTTTAGTAAAAAAAAAAAAAATCCAAATTAGTTTATAACAAAAATTATAATTTTTAAACAATTTTTTTTACATTTTTATTTTATTTTTTTTTATATTATTATTTTTTATATTTTTTTTTTTTACATACTGTCACCCTAGCAGTACAGTGTCACCATGGTGACACTGTACTACTTGTGGGGGGTGATGAAGATTTTTTTTTTTTTTTTTTTTTTACACATTGCTTTTACACCCATATAGGATGTAAAAGCAATCATTGCTCTTTCTCTCTGTGTGCATTCATGCACTCATTGAGAAGTACTGACTGAGCTGTGATTGGTCACAGCCTGTCACATGGTACAAGCCTGTTGTGAATAGGCTTGTACCATGTGACCTCTGTGATCATTCACAGATTTCACACGTAGTAAGCAATGATGTCACAAGTGACATCTTGCTTACTACTTTGCATGTGATCACTGATTGGCCAATCAGTGATCACATGATCGGGACCTCGTACAGAGGTCCCGTCCGACGATCGGTGTTTCACTGTGTCCGGAGGACACAGCGGGCACCGGATCGCGGTGCTGCGCGCTCCCAGGGAGCGCGCAGAAGCAGGGTGCGGGGAGGCCGTTTATAGACGCACTGCACTGCCACCGTCCGGCCGTTTATATGCAACGGCCGGTCGGGAAGTGGTTAATCATCAATAAGGTGACATTGTGCAAATTCATATGCAACTAGAATCTGTGACTAATATTGCAAAACATAAAAAAAAATAAAAATTTTGAGCATACCAAAAGGTGACAGTGTGGTTGAAATCACAGACGGACGCATAGACGTCCACAAATTAATGAGCCTTGTATATAAATAGATAAGTAAGGTGACATTGTGCAAGCATATATGCCACTATATTATGTGGCTAATATCGTGAAAGATCTATAACCAATCTAAATGAGTCCAAAAAATGTGACCAAGATCGCTGATGATCTTCAGGCGTCCAATAACCGTAAACGTGAAAAAGGTGAGAAAATAAGGTAAAGACTGCGCACTCACCAGATACGCAATCTTTATGCGCATTTGTATATCATAAAAAAAAACGCATCAGGCGCCATCACATAGGTCTGGTCAGATCTGGTCATGTAGCCTCCACTGCTTCATAATCCATACTCCAATAGCATACGCTCTGCAATCATGATGAGCTCCCACAGGGGCTCAAAAAACAGAGGAAGCCAATAGTGTAGTATGTCAAGGATATTTATTCCAAAGTTCAGGCAGATGGGTATAAAAGAGTAATACTGACCAAATCAGGATGGCCGCTGGGACTCCTCGTGGTGCCGGCGGTGTAGCGTCAATCAGCTGTAGCTATACCCTGACCTAGGTAAGCTGAATCCCTATGACTACGAGCCATAGCTCGAAACGCGTCACCTGTTCCTTGTTCTAGGGACGTTGATGCATCACTGGATCTGGGGAGCAAGGAGCATCCTTAACACTGTGATTTGAGGTCAAGGAAAAACAGAATTGCAATCTTAGCAGGATTCCTCTAAGGCCCTGCTGCCCAACCTGTGGCCCATAGGCACTTTCTGTTTGACCCTCAGGGCCCCTGTGGACACTAATTTGTGTTTCCCTATTGCCCTGTTATAGCAGTGGTGTCTAGCAGTCTCGAGTATCTAATCTGTTTCCTGAGGCATGTCCCCAGTGTCCAACATCCTTTTACATAAGTTGTACCTGTTTATCTGCAGTCTTCTCTTCTCTACAGCCATTCAAAGAGCAGAATTAATACAGCTTGCCTGAAATTTCAGAAAGCAGGGGACTGGAATCTGAAGTTTCATTCAGTGAGGGGAGCTGATAGCTGATTGGAGGAAAGGGACCCCCTTCACACAACATGCAGGGATAGAGCTGAGGCTGTAAATCGCAAGCTGTGTGCTGGCTCTCCCTCCTCTATCACCTTTTTTACCTCTTGGTGTCAGGAAAACTTGTCAGAAGTGACTCTTACAGATAGCACAGGAAAGCCGTGAAATACAGAAATGGCACTTAGTGGTCTGAATTCAAATAAGTACACACTATAGAGGGATATACTTTGTTCATATATCATGTCATAGGTTTACAACTACTTTATCCCAAGATCAAACGGTGAATGAATAATCCCCAGTGGGGACACCTGTTCCTTTGACAAATCCCTAAGGTAAAGATTCTGTTCATTTTAGCAAGATATACTCTCTTTAGCTGTGGCATTTCAAGGACAGGAACTTTACAGCAAGGCTTTATTTAAACTTCAGAGGGAAAATAGATATATGGGCAATGCCAATTCCGCCGTCAGAGATGTAACCTAACAATACATTGGATTAACTATGATCTCTTCTTTCAGAAATCTGGTGATATTGTGTTCTCTAATAAATCTGGGGAAAATGTCACTGTAAATACGTATTTATAAAGTATTATATCCCATACATAGCCTGGAGCTGGAAAAGCTGAGGAATATATAATGTCTGATCCCCTGTGCTAAAATCAGTGTACCTTGCTTACTGATGGGGCTGAGCTCTAGAATTCTAGTAAATCATGAAGAAAAGTATGAAGCCTGACTGTGAATGATGCTGAAAGGAATGTCTTGCATGTACATTAATATTAATGGGGGAAAGCAAGAGACATTAGTCACCTGCAAGGAAAATCTATCAAGCTGCCTATCCTCTGTAATCACTGTAAAAAGCCACCATCTACTTGAGTTTATTTGCATTTTTAATATGCTGTATATATGTATGTGTGTGTAAATGTACATATTGTAAATAACAAACACACACTGATCAACCTCAGCATAATGACCATGACAGGTAAAGTGTATAACGTTGAGTATTTCCTTATGTTGGCATCTGAAAGTCAGTGAGATATATTGGGCAGTAGGTGAACATGTTGTCCTTGAAGCTGACATGTTGAAAGCAGAAAAAATGAGAATTAAATAAGTGCCAAATTGTAATGGTGCAGATAAATTTCAATTACCCCAATCTATAACTCGCCTTTATAGTAAGGTGCACATGGAAAGGGCTTTGCACAAGTCAAACAACAGAAAAATTCTCAGCACACTTACTAGCTAGCCTGCAATAAAGCCAAATTAGCCCTGTCTAACAGAGGTTTTTGTTGCTATATGACTGGGTCAGAGCAACTCCCAAACTGCAGCCCTTGTGAGATGTTCATAGACTGCAGTGGTCAGGACCTACCAAAAGTGGTCCAAAGAAGGTGAACCGATGAACTGCTGACAGTCATGGTTGTCCAAGGCATGTGGGGAGCATAGGCTGGCCTGTGTAGTCTGATCCAATAGAATAGCTCTTGTAGCTCAAATTGATGATAACGTTACTACTGGTTCCAATAGAACAGTGTCAGAACACACAGTGCGTCGCAACTTTTTGTGTAGCCGCAGACGGTCAGATCAGTCTCCACAGCCAAAAGCACCTACCTACAAGCGGACTTGAGCATCAGAACTGGACTATTTAAAGATAGAAGGTGGCCTGGTCTGCTGAATTCAGGAATGGTTTGAGGAACCCAACAACGAGTTTGAGGTGTTGATTTGGCCTCCAAATTTTCCAGATCTCAATTCAATGAAGCATACAATTTTTTTTCTTAAAGTGGAAGTCATGCCTCAAAAAAAAAACTCCTTCATCAAAGCCAAAGTCGCACTGTAAAGTCACAATGAAAATCTCACGATTGTTGCACAGGTGTGAATGGAGCCTTAGGGTCTCACAGGCACATTCTACTGTGCATCCTATAAATAAAACATAAAATGTCAGCAAATGTAAAGTATTTCCATTGATGTCCTGCAGTTTATGGAGAGGGGAAAACAACCGCGGTTACAAATGGGCTCCTACGTAACTTAATTTTAGCATCTTTACTTTGATCATCTAACTGGTGGCCCAATTTATTATTTAAATGAAGCTGCTTGAGGGAAGAGTTTCTAATGTTGGCCATACACTGTGAGAATTTCACTACATGGGTGTCTCTGTCCTGACATTGTAATAAATTTTATTTTCAGGACTGAAGAATCTGTATTGTCCAAGGGGCTTGTAAGTTGACATTTGAAATATAGAGTAGTTGACTACCAGATGCACCCATGGCACATAGTCTGAAGCTGTCTATTTGCAGGAGTTGCTGGAGCACAGTCTACTAAGAGTTGATAATGAAAGTCTCCATGAAGAGTTGTTAGACATTAAAGCCATTGGACAAGTTTTACAGGTAAGACTTCGCATCTGATACATTTTTTTCCTGTTAAATGAAATATTGCTAAATAATGTTCAAATATAACACATGCAGTCATTTATACCTCTTAGATAACACACCTTTCTTCTTGTAGCATCAAATATTTTGCTGCCCTAGGGATGATGCAGTCATGTAAATCTTAGTGCCTGCACTGTAGGCTTCATTTTCTTGACTGTGTTTATACAGGCTGCCACACAGCTTAGCCCCCTATTGCCTGTCATGCCATGACTTACCAGGTTCTTGATCACTGGGGGGGAGCAGGGAGTGAGAAACACATTTTGCACACACTCGGAGTTCATCATTTTCCCAGCATGCATTTGAATACATAACTTCAGAGCTCATGGAATTTATTAGACTTGTTTTAACTTAAGCACAGCTGCAAAGTTTTCTGTATAGAGTTAGCAATTTACCAAATGATCTGACATGTCACATGACTTGCTGTTGTATACTTAAAAAACTGATAGTTTAACTCCTCAGTTTTTTAAGAGAACTAGAAAATGGTTGAAAATAGAGTGCATGAAGGTAAAAAACCTTGAGCCTTTACAACCACTTTAAAAGTGAAAGTCCAGCCAAAAGTTTTTTTTTGTTTTGTATTGGGTAGAGGGGGTAATAATTACAGTCCTGCTCTGGTATCCACCACTATCCAAGTTCTGCTGGAGAGATTTTCCTCACTTACCTACTAACACAATGACAACAGTTTCACCAGGCAGGGAGTGAAGGAAAATCCATAACAGGAACAAAGATTAAAAAAAAAAAAAACTGACAGATTTTAGTCTTTCCCCCTGTACTACGTGTAAAAAAAACCATATATATATATATATATATATATAGATATAGTCCGTGTTGTGTTTAGTGATCTGTCCTCTCTGGGAGAGGAAATCTCATTAATGGATCCCTAGACAGCAGTATAAACTCAGCAGGCACTCCAATTACCCACTCTATCCAAAGTTGAAAAAAAATTAAGTTTTGGCTGGGCCTAAAACTTGCTTTTGGTTTTTCAAGCTTTTTGGAAGTGTAATATCTGAATCCGTTCAACAGATTTATATATCTAAGAATAATTTTCCTGGTTCGATCGTATTTTTTTTACATAAAAATTAAAAAAAAAAAAAAATGTATTTCAGTAAATGTTTTTGAAAGATTTATCAAGAATATAGGATTGAAACTCAACCTAGGGCACCCCAAAAGATCAAGTCATGTAGTGTATTGGCTCCTGAGTGGTAATGTCAGAAGCAAGCGCTGTGAGCAGTTGTCTGTGAAAATCATATCTCAGCATACTTATGGATGTCTCCATACTATGGGTGGACGTAGACGTGGGTGGTTAAACCTGGCTGGGCTGAATCACAGTGGAAAGGAAATAATAGATGGATACACCTCATCAACACAAAATTCCATTTAAGGCCTGTGACTAATCAACTGCATATCACCACGCCAATGCTTGTTCTCAAGCTTACAGCAACCCCATCCCAGACCTTTTATTAAAAGTTCAATAATAAATTGCTTGCAGTATTTTGTTGTTTTCGTCTGCAAGGCTTCCATTGTCCAGTAGATGAATCATCTCTAAGGTTGCTGCTGAGTGTCACCCATCTTGAACTTGATGCCAGTAGCTTCAGCAGACCCAGATCTGTCATTGGCACAGACATTCAGCTGACAGAGCTTCTGTTTCTGTCAGTGCATACCCCATCTAAGGTGCGACTAAGGTGTCCTTTTATGAAACAGAGATCAGTGGCGATCCTGAGGATCGTTGCTGATCTCCAATCACTAGTGGTTTAGGTAACAGAGACGATCAGTGGAGAACATGTTCTCCGCTGATCATCTCAGCACACAGATTGCCAGTGTATGAAGGAGCAATGTCAGCCCTTCACTGGCGATCTGTGTTCTCCCTCCAGATTCTCCAGCCCAGAATATATATGAATATATGACTGCAGATGACAATTGCAAGAAATGGAGTTTATTGTGCAAAGAGTTATTATTGTTGTCCTTGCACTAAATCAGTACTCTGTTTTGCCTTCTCTGTCAGGATTTGGTGAAGGTGATGACACTGTGTCCTATTGAACATCTGGTGAGTCGGACAAGCTGACATAGGTGAAAATTGTACTGGACCTGCTGTAAGAATGCAGTCTCATTATCTCCAGTTTAATCTCTGGGTATTTCTTTTAGAGGAAGAAAAGTCTGGCAATGTTACAGTTGGTGATTGACAAATTCTGTGTGGAAGGAAAATATAAGTTATTCAGGTAAGGGTTTGCCTAATCATACTAGAAGCATAAAAAATACACCATTGTTTCATGACTTAGAACCAATCATTATCAAAGGGCAAGTACCTTAAAATAATACTTTAATTAAAGAGAACAATACAGCAGGATCTACAGTAATTAGATTAGCTTTATTATAGAGTACTTGGCACTGTACAAAAGAAAAATTGGAGTTTTGTAACTTTGTTTATGATGCAGCCTTGGGTGTTCAGCGTTCTTCTTGAGTATTTTTCAGCATAAACTATATAATTTGGTAGTCAGCCTGCTCCAGAGATGTATGTTTGTTTAGGCCAGTGTTTCTCAACCTTTTCTCAGTCAAGGCACCCTTTAAAATTATGCACAATCTTAAGGCACCCCATTCTAAAAATTAAAAAAACTAAACGAATCGTTTTACATAATGCAGTAACATTCACCCATGTAGGACACCCAACGTTAGAGGTTGCAAAGGAAACATGCCTTTGTACACTGGTACTGACTAGTATTCCAATGCTTCTCTCCATCACTCAGCTAATGTGACCCCAGTGTTGATGGAGAGACAAACAAGGATGCTGTGCGCAATGTCCTCCATATTAACCACTTCATGCCTAAGGGTAAAACAATCTTAATGCCTAAACACAATTTTGCAACGTTGACATTTGTTAGTAAAACCGTACATATCATCACAACTACTTTGTACATCCGGTGGATTATACCTTGTTTTTTTCAGGACAAATTGGGCTTTCATTTGGTGGTAAATGGTAATGGATATCTCCTGCTTTTTTTATTATCAAAGGAAAACCTGGCCCAAAATAGTAAAAAAAAAAAAAAAAAAACTTTTTTTTTAATTTAACTGTGTGTTTCGTGTTACTACCATAACCTACCACCAAAGAACAACCCAAAATAAATTCTCCAGCTATTGACAATCACAACAATACCATATATGTGTATGTTATTTGTACCCATAGTACAGCCCAGATACAATAGTGTGCGTTTTGTTTTTTACTTAAAACACACTGACACTAATACCAATAAAAAAATTAAGAAAAAATCTTGATCTTTTGACCTTGACCCTGACCCAAACACTTATCCTGGCACTGAACTAGATCAAACCTTAATCTAGGTATTTTTTTTATTTTTTATAAATATTTATTTAATTTTTTTAACAAATATTTTTTCCCTTCTATGCCAGGCGTTAGAGAGATACAATGTATCTCTCTCCTCCATTCATAGAGGAAAAAAAAAACCAAGGGGGTTGGGCTGTACAGTGGCCGATCACTGAGATAGCCAATCAGAGGCTATTACAGCGATCATGTGACCCGAAATTGTGAGTCCCGGGTTCCAATAGTTAGAACGGGACTCGGGGCTCTCAGTGACACATATTTGTGTGACGTCGGTGCGAAGGGGTTAACTGAAGACATTGGTTGTTACAATGAAAACTTGTGGCTTTGTATAATTAAAATGCTAGACTGGATCCACCAGCTGGCAAATCTACAATTGTTGGGCATTTTGCCAGGGCATCCCTGGGGAAACCTGAAGGCACCCTGGTTGAAAAAGGCTGGTTTTGGCTGTCATGACCTGGAAGACATTTACTGAGGCAGGTACATGAAGACACTGTAAACTAGGTTCAAGGTGGAATAGACTTCTTCCTTTCCAAATACCTTCCAGTAAGGATTGGGGGAAGGTACTGCTTCACCAGTTTAAAACATCATCTTCACCAATTTTTGGGGTATTTTTCTGTGAAAAATCTTGCCAACATGTTGATGAATACCCAAGCCCCCCCCCCCTTCAGATGTGATGGCCCAGCAGGCACTTATTGGGTAGTTGCCTATTGCAAACGATATTTGTTTATAAATTCTCCCTCTAAATATGTGTAGAATATGAATATGTGTAGAATATGTATCGAAGAATCGAAGAAGCCATCTTGAAAGAAAGTAAATCCCATCCCTAATAAGTTCCCTTTTGGGATTAATAATAATTTCCCTCTGGGATTCATAAAGTATTCTGATTTCTACATTTACCAGTGCAGTCTTTTGGATATTAAGTTGAAACACAATTATGGTTGTGGCCAATTAAGCTTCATAAAGTCTTTTACCCCATGATGATTCAACTAACAAGCTGCTCTTTGCTCAGGTGCCTGCTGAAGACAAGTAATCATTCTGGTGTGGAGGGTTACATCATACACAACATTAAGAATCAGATAGACGTAGCACTGAAGGTGAGATGTATTGAATCAATGGATCCATTTCTGGCATGAATTGTATTATTATGAGTCAGTATAAAGTTATTTTTTTTGTTTAAATAACAAACGTCATACTTTCTCTGTGCAGTGGTGTGGCACACAACAGCCTCGATCCTCCTCTTCTGGGGTCCCCCATTTGGCTCCTCCCCCTTCTGTGTGCCCCCCATACTGGGAAGTACTCCACCCTTGCAATGCTGGTCAGAATTGCCACTCTTATAGGTAGATACAAAGATCACTGGTGTCATGCTCCTGGCTTTGCAAAGTGGCAATGGCCCTAGAACTATTCAGGCACCAAATGGGAGGTCCGTCAAACACAGGAACCCTAGTTAAAAATGACTGACACAGACAATTGGCACTGGAACAGATTGCCCCTTTTTGGAAAATGTTCTCTCCTGTTTGGAAGAAAACTGTAAAGGTTTGTATTTGTCTGTCACTTTCTGTCTTAGTGACAATACAAACAGAGAGGGTGAATCTCTCCAAAGGGGACACAGGAAGAAAGACACCCTCCCCCCACTTTTTTTCAAATCTAAAAGGAAAAAGTTACAAGTTAGTCATGGGAAAGGTAAAGATATGTTTTTTAAAAGAACAAACATGGTGTACTTACCTGCTCTGTGCAATGGTTTTGCGCTCTCTGGTCCCCTGCTAGCGCTCCTGGCTCCTCCAGGCTCACTTCCAAGCTGCACTGTATATGTCTATTGATGCACTCAGTGTTGTTCGACCCTGCCCCCCGCTCTCTCCTCACCGGTTGTGATTAACAGCAGCAGGAGCCCTGCTCTGAGCCAGTAAGGAGAGAGAGCAACAATGCTGCTCTCGGGTACAGCGCTGAATTGAAATCAGGCTCAGGTAAGTAAAAGGGGGGGCTGCACACAGAAGGTTTTTTACCTTAATGAAGACAATGCATTAAGGTGAAAAAAAAAAAACCTCCTCTGCTTTTAGAACCACTTTAAATAATTTGAAGAGAATCTATTATTTATTTATATATATTTGTCATGTTCTTTCTTTAGTGGGTATGTATATATCATATTTAACAGTTGCATTCTGCAGGTAACGCTCTAAACAAGAACTGCTCACAGCTGAAATTTCAAATAACGTTAAAAATAGGCCTGAATGATCAGAGGAAGCACAACCGTCACCCTCTCAATCGGAACATCTTAATTTGAATGAATACATTTGGGCTGATTTACTAACAGTAGAGGATGTTTACTTAGCTTAGTGAATACAGTGAAGCCATGTCCACTTTGCATACCCAGTCATGGGGAGTTCCAGATCTGCTTTAGCTGAGTGCAGTGGAGGCATAAGTGACATTAATAAAGTTAAGTCAAAACAACTTTTTTAAGTTTAAAAAAAAAAAAAAAAAAAAAATTAAAGATGGGTTTACAAAAAAAAAAAAAAGAAAAGTAAAACAAAATGTATAGGCAATACAAACAGCCAGCGTACACTCTTAAGCCCTGGGTTGTTCTACACCAAGTTTGCAAAGAAACAGTGGAGACTGGTATAGATACAAAATAAAAAACAGCGCAACGCAGTAAAATGACCTGTGTGTAAATAACACCAATAATAAAGGATATAAACATATTGCACAAGTCCATGTGGACAACAGTCTATGCAGTTCCAAAACTGTTTTGCTTATCAAATTTTATACCATTTTTTTTTTTTTTTAATGTAAAAGCCTCCTGCACAAAATGTGCAATTCATATTAAGTTTCCCTGTGCAGATCATAGTGAGAGGAATAATCCCAGAGTCATCACAGTAACACCATTATTTAATTTTAATAAATGAACAGCTAAAGAGTCACCTATTGACCATTGTGGGTATCATCGTTTCACCATTATTTATATTTGGTATCAATTTACTTGACACAGTCTCCTCTTTTATAAGTAAAAGAAATTGTAGAGATTACATTGGGTTAGTATGAACTTCAATTAAATTTGAGTGCCTTTTTTTACTGAAACTATAGATATGATGAAAAGTTGCACAAATATTGTGTGACACATTAATTTACAACTACCACGATTTTCAGAACCTAAATAATGTTTAGGGAGTTTAAAGTATATCTTTATGTAAAAATGCACATTTTAGAATTGTGCAAAAAAAAAAAAAAAAAAAAGGTCAAGCAGCAAACTATCATCCACTTTGGGTTTAGCTGCACTGTAACAGAGTTTTTTTTCACCCTAGCAAATGTTAGAACACATACAGTACAAATGTACGGTTTTGCTTCCATAATTTGTAAAAATGTTTAATGTATGTGCTTTTGTGATTTATCCTGTGATTCTGTGTTGTACATCTGCTGATTTTTATGAAGGAGACAACATATGTCAGAGACCACAAATCTGCAGACTGTGCATCATCCTTGCCTGCTGTTTGGATTGCTTATGAATCTTACTCAATTGATGGCATTCACCTTAACCACTTCAATACCGAGCACATTTACCCCCTTCCCGCCCAGGCCAATTTTTCAGGTTTCAGAGCTTTTTCTTTGTTTCTGTTATAAAAATTTGCAAATAAATAATCGTTCTTCAGAAATTTAGGCCAAGATGTATTCTGCTACATTTCTTTGGTGAAAATAACTTAAATCAGTATTTATTATTTAGTCTGTAGGAAAGTTATAGAGTTCACAAACTATGGGATATATCTGAAAATTGATCAATCCTGAAGTACTGACAGCCAATCTAATTTCTTGAGGAGCAAAAATGTCAGAACAGTACAGATATCCCCCAAATGACTCCCTTTGTGCAAAGTAGATAGTCCGACGTACTTCATAAGAGGCATGGCGAGTTTTTTTGAAGTTGTCATTTTTTTTTTTTTTAAATAAAGACATTTAAAAAAAAAGTCATTTTTTTTTTCTTTATATACAGTCACCAGTGCAGTACAACATGATCATATAACTGGTGTGGCAGTGATCAGGGACACTGACTGGTGACAGTACAAAAAAAAAATGTGAATAATTTTTCAATTTTATTATTTTTTATTTTATTAATTTTTTTCTCTTTTTACTATGATTTTCTTTTCATATTATACTATGACCAAAGTAGTATATAGTTATCATAGTAACATTGCACTACTTTGAGGATTAGTTTTTTTTTTGCACAATATGATTGCTTATATCAAAGAATTTCTTGGCTATAAGCAAGCATTTAACCATATGAAATCGATTCATTCAGGTTTTTTTGTTGTGATTAGCTGTGGTTTGCCATGGCTAAACACATGACAAAAATGGTCTGTGATTGGCGCAGTCTGTGCATTGATCACTGTGACCAATCACAGCTAGTGACACAATTCTATACAATGGATGGCTGATACAGGGATGATTTAAATTCTCCTGCATAAGTTGTACCTGTTTATCTTTAGCAATCTCTTCTCTACAGCCTTCCAGAGTACACAGTTTAGATGGCTTTCCTCATTTATCATAAGGTAAGAGGCAGGGATATGATGTCACACACTGCACAGCACAGTGCTGAGTGTAATCTGAGACCTGAGTGGAGAGAATGGTCACCCCTCCTCTCTACACAGTCTCACTGGGAAATACCACTTGAGGATATGCTTTGTTCATTTTCTATTTCAGAGGTATACAGCCACTTTCACTTGTCATTTCAAAATTAATTGTAATGTTTTATTTTGGACTGTTAGGCTGACACCCAAAACAGGTGGTTCTTAGGGACTCGACTGACCCCACTTCTACACATGGTACTTTCACTTCCTGAAGGAGCAGAAACTGATCTATTGCAAAATTCTGACAGGTTGGTTTATTCAAAATGTTAAAATCCCATACTTCTTATAAATTACATGTAGATTTAAAGTTAATCTGCTTGTATTTTGCCTTCCCTGGTTCCTTCCTCCTACCCTCATCAACATGCTAGCATCTATAAATGAGGGAGATCAAACTAATGAAAAGATAAAAAATAATAAATCAAAACTTGCCAAGTAAAAAATGATGGCTAAAATGTAGGTAAAGGTGTGTCATATAATAGGTGGGGAGGTGGAACTCACTTGCTGCAATAGATGTGATGAGACTAAGGAGGCAGGACCCAGACTGTGGGTAATATAAAATGAAATAGAAAAATAATGAATTACAGACAGAGAGGTTGGCTACAGTACAGGGCTATGAAGGGGATGAAGTAGAAGAGTTTGACAGCTGTTTTTATATAAAATGAAACAAGGCAAGAGTACCAGTTAGGTATAGCAACATAAATGACAAGCTAAACACGGGCGGTGTGCATTCTGATCACCAGGTGATCAACACAGATCTCCTGCTGATTGGAGCTGGGCGGATGACAGGTCCATGTCCACTCCATGTTTCAGCAGAGCAAACACTGAAAGAGCTGCTCTGCTGCTCAATGGGTGGCCAGGAGACTTTGCTGTCAGTTTACACCCAACTGCCTCAGATCCGGTCTGCATAACTTGAAGAGGACACCGTCCTCTCTTTTTTTTTTTTTTTTTTTTTTCTTTTCTTTTTTTTTGGTGGGCCTGATTGGACCCAGAGGTAGGTAGCTGTAAATAGACGCAAGTTAATTTACACCCACCGGTCCATAGAAATGCATAGCCCATCCAATCAGATCCGCCTGAAAAACCGATTGGATCGGTCGTGTGAAAGGGCCCTAAAACAGGCTGATAATTGAAATATGTGTAGATAAGCACTAGAGGATAGAGCAGATGGCCATATCTAGACCTGAGGAGGGATCAGGGAAAGAGGCAGGGATAATGGAGTGGTAACCAGCAAAACTAGATGTGTTACCAATGCAGAAGAGAATGAGAAGCATCAAAGGGACAGCAGCGCTAAACGGACGGTCACTACTGGGCTATACAAGGGCAGAACATTGCACTGGGCTAAAGTAAAACAGCCAAAAGGAAGTAGAAGAGAGGGGACATGGCGGCAGAGAAAGCTGACAGAAGGGGAGAGAGTGGCAGAGCTTTGGCCCAGAAGAGTGAAACTATGAATAGAGATGAGTGGGGATCAAGAGAGAGTTGTCAGAGAACTGTAAATGTGGAGGAAAAGATTGAGAGTGGAATCACTGTGTGGACCCACTGCGGAGGAAATAGAACTGCAGGTGATTGCTGCACTGTGCTGATATCAAGTAAAGCGGATGGGATAGAGCAGGGAAGCAGGAGAAGTGACCAAGAGGAGAAAGCTGAATAAGGTGGTAGAGTGGCTGGGCTATATACAGTACCAGCACAGCAGATTTCTGATAGTAGAAAGGAGAAGGAGGTAGCTTGAGATAATGCTTGGAGATCTATAACAGAGAAGGAACACTGATCTGTCACATCTTATCACACATCACAGGCTGCCAGCATGAGATGGGACTGGTATTGGTTCCTAAAATTGGATGCTTTTATATATTTTTATTTGATTTTAGATTTGCCCCAATTATTTATCTTCACATTGAGATTATATACACCTCATGACAATATATACCTTATGACTTTAATGTTTTTACAAAATATTATTTATACGAGATATTTTTGTTATGTTCTTTGTATACTAACCCTGAGTAAGGGGGAGGTATGTCCCCCTGAAATGCGTTGGACTTACCTGATGTTTTGATCAATAAACTTTTAATCAGACTTTTAAACTGGGTGCTCCTCAATATCTACCCCAGAATTCGACCACCTCCTATTTTGTCTAGGCCTGCAATATCCTGTTCTGAAGTTATTTTCTGGCATAATTTGGTATTATCTGCAAACACTGAAATTGAGCTGTTAATTCCAACTACTGTATCATTAATAAACAAAAACAGCATTGGCCCCAAGACAGAACCCTGGGGCATGCCACTCACAACATTAGACCATTCAGAGACTCTTCGAGTCCAGAGTCATTTATTGGTACTCTCTGGGCTCATTCATGTAACTAGTTCTTTCCTGTCCTCCCTCCCTGCTATGGTGCAAAGACCTTATGTTGTCCTATTACATTCTATGTTGTAGGGTGACAATGCTGCTTAGTATGGTTGTCACCCTAGAACATAGAATGTAATAGGACAACATAATGTCTTTGTGCCATAACGGGAGGTTGTTTTGTAGTTCAGAGATAGCAGGGAACTATGCTGACTGATAGCAGCCCAGTGGCAGAGAGTACGGGCCGTTATCAGTTCAAAGGTTTCTGGCTGAACAACTAATTTTTTTCCACTTGTCACACAGATATAATAAAACACTTTCAATGGTATATTTAACACACCCAAAGGGAAAAAAAATCAAGAGACATGTATTGTTAGAGTTTACATGCACTTTAAGTTGAGAGCTTCCCCTGTGTTGCTTTTTGTACAGCAAAGCTGTAAAGGAGAGAGGCCATTTGGTTATGTATGTTAAGACTTTAATTTCTGTTTTTCTATACAGAATTATGGCTTCCTCAACTTTCTGAGGTACTTGGTTATCAAGGATGATGAATTCATTAATGAAGTAAGTAATAGTCTTGTACTTCTGGCCAGTCCATAGTTGTATGTCCTTTATAAAAGCACGCTAAGCATCAATTAGTCAGATGCAGCCTGTCTCTAGAGTATTAATCAGTTTCTTTTCACAGAGGCAATGGCACCCTACAATGGGGGGAGTCACTTATTACAGCCTCACAGCACCACTGCTCTTATCCATAGGCTAAACTGGAAGTGGGTGGAGTCTACCTTTGGCTGACTCAGGGAATAATAACCATTTTATGGCAGTCCCCACCACCCTGTCAGTTTCTTCACAACAGCGACAACTGCAGGAGTTTGAAAGCAAGCTTCTATATATAACATGTTGCTGTAACAGACAGGTGCCAAAGAAAGTGTTTGTATTAATATTGTATTGCTTGTGCATATGCATGCACCATACATATGAGGGTTAATCAATGGTGGAGAAGGATCTGGGTGTGTTCTGGTAGATCATTGAATTAATAATAGTATGCAATGCCAAGCTTGTTTCCAAAGAGAGCAAAATCCTCTCTTGTATTGAAAGAGGAGAGAGAGATTATCTGACCTGAATTTATTCTCTCTTGAGAAGAGGAGATTAAGGGGGATATGATCAACATTAATACAAACAGTTGGGAAAATAATTATTTGATCCCCTGTAGATTTTGGAAGTTTTCCCATTTACGAAGGAATGAAGGGTCTATCATTTTTTATCATAGGTGTATTTTAAATGATAGAGACAAAATATCAATAAGAAAATCCAGAAAAAAACACATGATACAAATGTTATAAATGGAGTTGCAGATCAGTGAGTAAAATTATGTATTTGAGCCCCAAGCAAATCATGACTTAGTACTTGGTGGAGAAACCCTTGTAGGCAAGCACGGAGGTAGGGTGTTTCTTGAAGTTGGTTACCAGGTTTGCACACATCTCAGGAGGGATTTTGGTTTACAGATCTTCTCTAAATCCTTAAGATTTCTTGACTGTCGCTTGGCAACCCAAAGTTTATGCTCCCTCCATAACTTTTCTATAGGATTAAGATCTGGAGACCTTAATGTGCTTCTTCTTCAGCCACTCCTTTGTTGCTTTGGCAACAAAGCAGTGGTCCATGTAGTGAATTTGATGTACAGTGATTCACTTTAAAGTCATCACCGAGAACAAGGGGGCACTCTTTACATCTAGAGAAAAAGAGTTTTAATCTCTAACTATGGAAAGGCTTCTTTACAGTAAGAGAGGTGGCACAAACTCACTCAAGAGCTGGTTCTGGCCAGCTCAGTAGATTGTTTTAAGAAAGGCTTGGATTCTTTCCTAAATGCACATAACATTACTGGATATTAATATTTATAGGTAAAGTTGATCCAGGGAATATCCAATTGGAGGTTTTCTATTTGTGTTTTTTTTTCTGTTAGTTAATCTGGTTGAAAAAAAGAGTCCATCCAGTTCAACCATGTAAGAACAAGCATGCAGCCAGTAAATCAGATTTCCTTATTGTCATACTTGTTTCAGGTCAGTGGCTTAGGATTGTCTCAAGTAAGCCAACTTGCATTTTCACAGGGAAAGGTCGGCAACAACAGCTTTCATATTTTCTAAGAATGTTTACACCAAAGTGGAACTTTACTTTATTGAAATGCTAGTGTGAAGGCTTTTTATTGCAGAAAATACATACTTTGCTAGCAGGAAGGTGAGCATCATTTACTGTTAGGGAGACAAACTGCTTTAGATTGAGCTGTGCATGTGTAGCTCAGGGTACAATCAAGATGGCCAAAGACTCTGAAACTGGACGATGGCCAGGTGAAGATGGGAGCATCAGCAAGGGAGCCTTTATTGCTGGAGGGCAGATAAATGCTACATACTTTGAAGCCTCTTTCACAATGGCAATTGGATCAGGTCCGCCTGTCATTTGTTCAGGCAGAGCTGATTGGATGGTCCATGCATCCCGATGGACCAGTAGGTATAAAACGGACCTGCCTACCTTCCATCCAGTCCACTAAAGAAAAACGGAAAGGGATCTGTCCCCCTTCGCCTAGGCGGATCGGAGGGCAGTTGGGTGTAAATGGTCAGTCAGTTGTCCGCAGAGCAGGCTCTGTCCATGTCTGTGCTGAAAAAGCAAGTGGACACGGAGTTGTCATCTCTGCTCTGATAAGCAAGAGATCAGTGGACAGGTCACCCGCTAAGCAAAGTGGATTCTGTTTCATGTGAAAGGGGCCTAAGAGCATGCACCTAGATAGCCTGCAAATTAAACGTTTACAAAGCTTCCACCCCAGGTATCACACTCTCCCTTAGTCCTGCAGCTGGTGATATCCACAAGTGTTTGCAGATGCCTGGGAAATTCAGTAATAAATACAAACAGTAAATCGTCATCCTTTTCTGCTTCTGTAAGCAGTGGTTCACTGTGGCTGAATGGAAAACACTAAAGTGGCTGCATGCCTAGTCAAATAATTCTCTTATGAAAAAAAACAAAAATCAATTAATTTTTTATTTTTTTTCACCATTGTCCAGACTGGAGTATGGACAGAACTACAAAAAACTGAACTGCAATTTCTGAGACCTCTTCACACCGCGCTTAACATGTCCAGAGCTCATTATGAAGCAGAGATTAAAAACACAAATGAGAAAAAGAAAGGTGAGAACTAAGTTATCCTGTCATTAGACCCTGTTCACAAAAGCATGACACGTGGTATGTTCATTACTGCGCATTCTGGTTTTTTGTTCCCCCCCCCCCCCCCCCCATCATTAAAAATCCGTTTTTTTAAACTCATGCATCTTAGTAAGTTACAACTATTCTTATCACCGTTCCAGAAATAGAGGCTTTTTTCATTCAGTTCACTAGCTGATCATCTTCCCTTGTGACACCTCTTACTGATGTGTTTATAGTGAATGCTGTGTGTTACAGGGCCGCATTCTAAGTCAGTGTGTTCGGTGACCGCTGGAGGGACCAAGTTACCTGACATGACTCCTGAAATGCAGCTTCAGGTACGCAGTTTTGCTAGCTGTGTGCAGTTGCCTGGCTTTGATCACTATGTTCTAGATTCTGCCCTGTGAAGGGTAGTGTCATTGTGCTTATCTAAACAACATTAACGGTTTTTGACATTTTAGGTTTTACAGTCAGCTCTTTTCACATTCGATTTAATGGAAAGTGTCCTCGCCAGAGTTGAAGAGCTCATTGAAGTGAAACTAAAATCTGCACCAGAGGAGAAAATTGGGTCAAGTAAAGATGTTTAGCTTGTTCTGTTCTGTATTTATCATCAACTCTTAGGCAATAAAAATTTTATAGGATGAAGATTTTGTGGATTTTTCACTACATTTGTTCAAGTTTCTCAAACGGTTTTAAAATAAATATGCTTTATTATACAAGGTTAATGTAAAAAAATTAATAAAATGTTATTCAGAAATGCATACAAGGATATAGACCAATTCAAAAGAAAAAAGATGACATTGGTAATAACTGAATGTATAAAAATGTACAGAGAACCTGTCACCACACCAAGCAACAGTAATCTTCCCATAAAACTATATGTACAGAACTGTCACTCAAGTGAAAGTTCAAGGCATTCCCTCTTTCTTCCTTCTCTGGCAGCTACATTAAAGGTTATGGAGGAAGGTGGATTAGGTACAGAGGAACTGCATCAGACACTCTCTGTAATTGGACATCATAGCCCTCTCTCCTATTCAGAGTTTGCTAAGGATTGATGGGAGCTGTGCTATGGAATTTACTTTTTCTGGATTAGGCACATTTGTCAGTAAGTTTAAAGGGGCACATTGGTTAAAATGTTTTTGAAATAGAAAATGCTGCAAGTAGGCATTTAAAAGTTTTTCTGTGCTGTTACATCATTTAGTCAGACCCTGTTACCAATTTGCAAGTAACACCACAACCTGGATAATTTGAAAGCATCTTCCAGGTTAAAAATGTCACTTTTGAGACAGCTCCCATGCAAAATACAGAACCTTGTATTTCCGATTTGAATGATTGCAGCTCAGGCTGCAGCAGAAAGACACATTTTTTTCAAATGTGCAATTCAATAAAACAATCACACTGAATTTACCTCCATAAGGTAGGTACAGTGTTTACTGACCTCTAGCAAAGCGAATAGTGAATACTACAGGAATTATGTTGCTGATCTAAACCTGACATAACATGGGCATGTTAACAATTAGTAAATGAATCAAACATGCATTTAAACAATTTATATGTAATTACAACAGGTAATGATGCACTTTCACTGAGCTGTCGTTTCACATCTGGTTAAGTGTTTTCCACACTGGGCTGTTTTCCACAATATGCATTTTAGCTTGCAGAAGCCTGTCCAAAATGTTTTCAATATGAGGTTTGCATGTGGCCTGTAAAAGAGTCAGCACAATGGATCAAAGTATGACTTTTTTTTTTTTTTTGTCTAGTGCATCTAAAAAAAATAAAAATAAAACTTTTATGGCATACAGGTGGAACAGCCTTGTCAATGGCTTGTGTTCTTTATCCAAGCCTTTGTAAACCCAAACAAAAATCTCTCATAAGCCAGGGATGAATCTATCCTGTCTAATGTGGGGGTGCAGTAAAAAAAAAAAAAAAAAAAATGTAGGGGCACAGAGGATGGGAGGTCAGCAGGGCAATGTACAGGGGGTCAGCAGGGCAGAGGATAGGATCAGCAGTTTTTAGGATAGTGTACAGGGGTAAGCTAGGCAGTGTACAGGGGTCACCCAAGGGAGTGCAGTAGACTGGGGGGGGGGGGTCACTGGTGGTGAGAGAGGTAGCTCACCCCAGCACCCCCCCCCCCCACCCCCTAGATCCGACCATGCTATAACCTTTAACATGTTAAAGAGGAACTTCACCCTACCAAATTAAAACTAAGTTTCACCACTAATTGTCACTGTATGAAAAAAAAAAACACACAGTTGTGTTCAAAAATAATAGCAGTCAAACATCACTAACCTGATCAATCACTGCCATGTAGAAATATCATTTCTACCAAAAACAAATAATTTATTACCAGGTGTAGTAGATTAATAGAAATCCAACAGACCCAACAGTCATAACATTCATGCTGCTGATTCTATGTAATTGAATCACTAATTGAAAGGGGCATGTTCAAAATAATAGCAGTGTGGAGTTCTATTAGTGAGGTCATTCATTCTTTGAAAAAAAAGGTGGCAATTATTGCCCTTATTTAAGGAAGAAAGGCAGCAAATGATGTACATGCTGGTTACAGTGCATTTCTCTCTGAAATTCTGAGGCAAATGGGTCGTTCCAGACATTGTTCAGAAGAACAGCGTACCTTGATTAAAAGGTTGATTGGAGAGGGGAAAACATATAAAGAAGTGCAGAAAATGATAGGCTGCTCAGCTAAAATGATCGCAAATGCTTTAAGATGGCAACCAAAACCTGAAAGACGTGGAAGAAAGCGAAAACATTACCATTCGTATGGATAGAAGAATAGCCAAAATGGCAAGGACTCAGCCAACAATCAGCTCCAGGAAGATCAAAGAAGGTCTAAAGTTCCCTGTGAGTACTGTTACAATTAGAAGATGCCTATGTGAAGCCAAGCTATCTGCAAGAAGCCCCCGCAAAGTCCCACTGTTGAAAAAAAAGACGTGCTGAAGAGGTTACAATTTCCAAAGAGCACATTGACTGGCCTAAAGAGAAATGGCGCAACATTTTGTGGACTGATGAAAGTAAGATTGTTCTTTTTGGGTCTAGTGGCCAGAGACAGTTTGTCAGACGACCCCCAAACACTGAATTCAAGCCACAGTACACTGTGAAGACAGTGAAGCATGGTTGTACAAGCATCATGATATGGGGAGGTTTCTCATACTACGGTGTTGGGCCTATTTATCGCATACCAGGGATCATGGATCAGTTTGAATACATCAGAATACTTTAAGAGGTCATGCTGAAGAGGAAATGCCCTTGAAATGGGTGTTCCAACAAAACAATGACCCCAAACACACCAGTAAACGTGCAACATCTTGGTTCCAGACCAACAAGATGGACGTTATGGAGTGGCCAGCCCAATCCCCGGATCTTAATCCAATAGAAAACTTGTGGGGTGACATCAAAAATGAAGTTTCTGAGGCAAAACCAAGAAATAGAGAAGAACTGTGGAATGTAGTCCAGTCATCCTGGGCTGGAATACCTGTTCACAGGTGCCAGAAGTTGGTTGACTCCATGCAACACAGATGTACAGCAGTTCTCAGAAACAGTGCTTATACAACGAAATATTAATTAAGTGATTCAAAGGAAAGCAAAATCGTCAAACATTTTTCAGTTTATATAGTGAATGTTTGAGTTTGTAAAGAATAATACAAACACTGCTATTTTTTTGAACAGTCTAATATTCACTTTTCTTCAATTTTTTTTTTAGAGGAACAACACAAATTTGATATATTTTTCTTCATGTTTTGATTTGGAATAGAATGTGTAGTGTTCCCAATGCATTTGTGTGTATGGAAATAAAAGCTATTAGAAGGATTTTGAGCTTTATTCACTTTTTTTCAACACACTGCTATTATTTTGAACACAACTGTACTTACTAGTCCTGTCTCTATGTGAGAAGTGATTTCAGAACGAGTGTGAAAGAGGACCCAGTTGATGAAGAGTGTGATGAAGCTGAAGTATTATGGGTGGAACTGCACATAGGAGTGCATACTACAAAGGTATTCATTGGAGTTTGTTATAGGCCTCCAAGTGTTAATGAGGAGGTGGAAACTCAGCTCCTTGCACAGATAGAAAGGGCTGGGACAGTGATAATAATGGGGGATTTCAACTACCCGTTAATTGACTGGAGTATTAAATATAAAAATGAAGGAACGCTATCATCGTTTAAACATTACAAAGAATATAACAGAATATGCAAAAAGGAAATAAAGGCCGCAAAAATTGAAAACGAACGACAGATTGCAAAAGATAGCAGGATCACCGCCAAAAATTCTTCAAATATATTAATGGTAAAAAGGTCTGGTCCAAGCATGTAGGCCCTTTACAAAATAATCTAGAGTGGGTGACTGGCGACAAAGAGAAGGCAAATTTATTCAATACCTTCTTCAGCTCTGTGTATACAAAGGAGCATGGGGGAGCTCTTGTCCATAATGGGCATGGTATTGACACAGCTCCAGATGATCCACATTGGCTCACAATTGATATGATCAAAAAATATTTAGACAGTATAAAGGTGAATAAAGCACCTGGAACGGATGGCATACACCCACGGGTCCTTAAAGAATGGAGCTCTTGTCATTTCAAAGCCATTGCTTCTAATTTTTAGGGACTCTTTAATGACTGGCATAGTACCACTGGATTGGCTTAAGGCCAATATTTAAAAAGGGGTCAAAATCTTTACCAAGTAATTACAGACCTGTTAGTTTAACTTCTATAGTTGGGAAGCTACTGGAGAGTTTACTAAAAGACCACATAGATGAGTTCTTGCTGGAAAAAAATATTTTAAAAAACAGCATGGATTCATGAAAGACAGAAGTTTTCAAATATGATTTCTTTTTATGAGGAGGTGAGCAAAATTTTGGACAGAGGGGTGGCGGTGGAATACTTGGATTTTGAAAAGCGTTTGACACAGTTCCCCACACACGGCTAATGTGTAAGGTAAAGTCTACGGGCTTGGAAAAATCTGTATGTAAATGGATAGAAAATTGGCTAAAAGATCGTATTCAGAGAGTAGTGGTTAATGATTCATACTCTGAATGGTCTGGGGTCATCAGTGGTGTACCCCAAGGTTCAGTGTTGGGACCCTTACTTTTTAATATATTTATAAACGATATAGGGTCTGGGATTAAAAATCCCATTTCAGTTTTTGCAGATGACACCAAGCTGTGCAGTGGAATAACGTTCTTACCGGAGGTCTTCAATTTACAAGACTACCTCAATGCACTGTTTAAACTTGGGCAACTAGGTTTAATGTTGATAAATGTAAGGTTATGATTTTGGGGGCTAAGAATATGCATGCATTATACATACTAGGGGGGTACAATTGGAATCAGTGGTGAAGAATCTGGAGTTCTGGTAGATCACAAGCTTAATAATGGCATGCAATGCCAAGCTGCGGTTTCTAAAGTGAACAAAATCCTCTCTTGTATTAACCACTTGAGCTCCTGAGGATTTACCCCCCTTAATGACCAGGCCTCTTTTTGCTACTCGGCGCTGCACTTATTCAACTGATAATTGCGCGGTCATGCAACGCTGCACCCAAACGAAATATACGTCCTTTTTTTCACACAAATAG